CATGTAGGCATTTTCCTGTGGAAGCTTTATTGTTTGACTTTTCACATTTTGTGACTTAAATTTAAGAGTTTTTCTGATTCGTCTGGTGTGTGTGTGTGTGTGTGTGTGTGTGTGTGTGTGTGTGTGTTCATTGTGTCTCAGTGAGTTTATTTACTTATAGTACATCTAAAACTTTTTGATTGATTGATTGATTTTAAATACATTTATTTGTGTGTTTATCCAGGTGCACATGTATATATACACCAGAGGACATCTTCTGGGAGTCTGTTCTCTCCTTCCGTCACATGGGTTCCAGAGGTTGAACTCAGATTGGCAGGCTTGGTGGCAAGGGCCTTACCCACTGTCATCATGAGAGCCCCTCACTTAGTTTTAAATTAGTCTTCAAGACCTGAAACAGAAATCTTTTCTTTTTTTGGTTTTTTGAGACAGGGTTTTTCTGTGAAGTTTTGGTGCCTGGCTCTGTAGATCAGGCTGGCCTCAAACTCACAGAGATCCACCTGCCTCTGCCTCCCGAGTGCTAGGATTAAAGGCGTGCACCTCCACTGCCTGGCCTGAAACAGAAATCTTAGCATAAGATGGGGAGCTAGCAGATTGATCTTCTGAATTCTGAGCTATTGACCCTTAGCTGCTCCAATTCAGAGTCCTGGGGCCTTCCTGTATGTTGAAGGGTAGTGTTACATGGTGTGTTGCTACTTCCTCACTGCTCTTCTTAGGTCCTTAACCCGCCAGTCTGGATCTGGCTTTGCCACTTCAGACAGCTGGCAAAGTTTCCAGTGGCCTTCTTGCTGAAGCAGTTGGGGGATCTGCAGTGTCTTTTAACCATTTGCAGGTCTGAACATAGCCTGTTTGTCTTCTACTTCAGTTCTGAATGTTTTTACTCAGGTGAAGCCTGGGCCTCCTTTTTTATCCACTGTAAATGAACACAGTTTGATTTTGGAATCTTGTTTGAGAAGCTGAAAGCTTGTGTAGTTTCAGAGGTCTGATTCCTTTTGTTTGCAGTGTTCCTGTCTGTTTTTATTTGGTACCTAATAAACCCAAGTAAAAATCAGGGTAGCCATCCTTGCTAGGTAGATAATTCTTAGTGTATCTAGTGCTTGTACATAGGTCACCTTTTTTGAAACTTGCAATGTCCTATGAAACATCCCAACATTAGTGTTGGAATTATTGAAGTGATCAGAATGTAAACAGCCTGGTATTTGGACTTGTGTCTGGTGATGTGCTTGGCTGGTTCTAGCACTGTCTCCTGGAGCTGCCACGTGTCCATCGGTCTTTGTAGTTGCTGGAGCTTCTTGGTTTGCACCTTAGCTTCTTGAGTTGGGGTGGAGTGTGCAGGGTAGGTTGACTGGCAGTAGAGACCAGTAGATTCTTGGGAGAGGCTGTCAGTGATCATTTAATTTAGACACCAGCATGGCAATGTGTGATGCTGTGCTTGGGGGCTTTGGAGTATGTGGTGACCTCAGAAGTTTCTTGAGGCCCCACTTCTCTCCTCTTTCCCTTGAACTCTCATCTTCCCTTTTCGTGGTCTCCTTTCTGTGTGGTGATGTCTTGTGTATCAAATAAAGCTTGCCTGAGGATCAGAGGACAGCCAGCCACTAAACACAGAGGCCAGGCAGTGGTGGCACACACCTTTAATCCTAGCACTCGGGAGGCAGAGATCCGTCTCTGTGAATTCAAAGCCACCCTGGACTATATGAGATTGATTCAGTCTAGGAGAGAAACAACCAGAGAGTGGTACCACACACCTTTAATCCCAGCACTTGAGATCTCACGCCTTTGCTACCAGTATTTGGGAAGCACACATGCCTTTAATTCCAGCACTAAGAAGGAAGGGAAATGGCTGGGCAGAGAAAGGTATATAAGGTGTGAGGAGACAGGAACAAGCGCCTTTCAGCTCAGGACTCAGAGGCGTTCAGCTAGAGGATGTGTGGAGATAGTTTCTTCTATTCAGCCTGAGGACTCGGTAGTGGTGAGAAGTGTCTCTAGTAGCTTGTTCCTTTGTCTCTCTGATCTTTCAGCATTTACCCAATATCTAGCTCCGAGTTTTTATTGTAAGACCGTTTAGGATTTGTGCAAGATTACTCTCTCTTTCTTTCCCTCTCTACTTACTTTTTTTTGTTTTGCTACTCAATGGTAACATTGAGTTACTTTAATACTTTCTAATGTCTTTATTTCTCTAAATTTTCCTACAGCCTCTAAATTTTATTTTTTTGCCATGCTGCGCTTTGTCCCCATAACCCCCCTTGCCTTGTGCCGTTATTAGCCTGGCTGTCCTGGAACTCTGCGTAGACCTGGCTGGCCTGAAACCCAGAGATTGGCCTGTCTCAGCCACTCAGCCTCCTGAGTACTGGGATTAAAGGTGTGCATCACCATGTCTAGTCCTAGCCCTTTTACTTTTTATTTATTTATTTTTTTGTTTTTATTATTTTATTTTTTGTATTGTTTGTTTTGAGACAATCGCATATTGGCTAGGCTGACTTCAAAGATGTATTTTTTTCATTTTTAATTTGTGTGCGTGTGTGTGTGTGTGTGTGTGTGTGTGTGTGTGTGTGTACAGTGTGTACAGTGTGTACAGTGTGTACAGTGTGTAAAGGTGCCTGAGGAGGTCACAGGTGTCAGATCCTCATGTCACTGTAGCTATGGGTAGTTGTGAGTCACCCATCGTGGGTGCTGGGAACTTAACTTGGGTCCTCTGCAAGAGCAGTATGTGCTTTTAACCATTGAGCCCTCTCTCCAGCCCCGAGTCTGGCTTCAAACTTTGTAGCTGAGGATGACTTTGAATTTTCTTCTGCCTTCATTTTCTGTGGGAGACCAGCTCCCACCTTTTCAAGGGTTCTTATGAAGAGGAGAGAGGGATAAGAAAATATTACATAGAAAGACAGTGAAGAGGAGAAAGACAGGAACACGGGATAGCTTTGGGAGGACCTAGGTGAATACCCAGCAGCCTTTTCCATTTAGTCAAAAGGGCTTTATATAACAACGCCAAGGGGTGGGGCAAAAGACCTCCCCCTTGCTAGATCAAAGCACACTGTCCAGCCAAGTGTAGACCCTTCTAAACACCTGGTAACCACACTTGTGGTCAAATCATCCCCTTATGCAGCCCTGCTGGGTAAAGTAAGCTTAGATTCTTGGACCCTGAGTAAGTTCTCACTAGGAAACCTCTATGGGTCTCTACAGTTTCCTTGACTGCTGGGACAAATAGGCATATGCCACTCTGTGTGTGTGTGTGTGTGTGTGTGTGTGTGTGTGTGTGTGTGTGTGTGTGTGTACTGTTGGATATCAAATCTAGGGATTCATGCATGCTAGGCAAGGACTCTACCAATTGAGGTATGTCCCCAGCCCTTCATTTTGAGATAAGGTCTCATTAGGTTGCCTTGAACTTCCCATCCTCCTGTCTTAGCCTCCTGAGTAGCATGAGTGATAAACTTGTACCAAGGCCTGGTGGTAGTTTTAATTTTAAATAGAAATACCTCCCTCTTTCAAATGAAATGACATACCAAATTTGACTAATAAAACATACTAAGACAGTGTCTATATTGTCTCCAAACTACTAGGATCAAAGATCCTCCTGCCTTAGCTTGTCAAGTAGCTGGATGTATACTATTCACCTGGCATATTGGTAATTTTTATAGACCGGGTTGGCTTGCAAGCTATACAATTCAGACAACAACTTCTCTTTGAGTCACAAGTGCTAATACTATTGGGGAGGAATTCATCACTCAGCAGGCCAGTTCACTTGTCATCTCTTAGCCTACTGTGCCAGCAGTATGGGAGGCACAGCCCATGCCTGATATTGCCTGTGCATGGCCAGTGTTGGTGGTGTAGATGGTGCTGTACTTGTAAATGGCTTAGTAATGGAGTTGGTTGAAGTGCCTCAGTTTCCACAGGAGTAAAGGATTGGCTGGAGGTCTCCAGACCTTTCACAGTTAAACACAAAACATGTTAAAATGTGAGCCTGTTGTCTTAAAATGCTCTTGGGGGTAAAGGAGGAGATTTGGGGAAGGGAGGCAAGTAGGAGTTTCCAGGTAGATAATGCCAATGATGGTTCAGACATGCTCTGCAGATACTCACCTTTTTTGCTCACAGGCTGTATGAAGTGGTTTTTGTTACTATTATTACTTAAAACTTCTTATGAGACTGGGTGTGTAATCAGGGTTGGCCTAAAGCTTGTCATCTTTCTGCCTCATCCTCCTGAGTGCTGAGACCACAGGCATGTGCCCCTGACTACAGCTGTTCTGCTGGGTGAAAAGGAAGTGGAGTTGGGAGATCCACGTGCAAGAGGGAACCCATCAGTATTCAGGGTCGGTTGGTCGGTCAGTCTCTGTCTGTCTCTCTCACCTTTTTAGACACGTTTTCAGCCAGGGTTAGACCAGGCTGGCCTCAATTGAAGAGATCCACCTGCCTCTGCCTCCCTACTGCTGGGATTAAAGGTGAGTGCCACCATGGCCTGGCTCAAGGGCCTCACCTCTTACCCTGGGCATCTCTACTCAGTCTGTTCTCTGCTAATTGGTGTAGGTTGAACTTGTGTGCCAAGCTTTGTTTTCAGCTGCACATTCATCTTTATTGGCTCGTCCTGTGAGATTGAAAGCTGACTGTATGTAGAACTTCTGAAGCATCTTCAGAAACCCCAAGAGTCCTCTGTATTAAATTAACATCTGGCTAATTAATAAGCCAAGAGGTGTCCAGATTGTGTATGTAGGGTCTCTAAGCCTCCTAGAATCTGTTTGCTCTGCCTATTCAATCTTTCTACAGTTGTATTTTGAATTGTTTTTCTTCTTCTTAACATAAATAATTAAAATTACCTGGTATGCATTTGTAGAAGATAACTAAAACTGGGTTTTAAGCCAGAAGGAAAATCCTCTTGTTTTTCTGGCTTGGATTGTGCATTTGAAGAAGTTGGACCAAGGTGTTTGGGAGGTAAATTACTCTTGTTGTAGATGGTACCTGGAAGGAACTGGGAAGCAGAAGCGCTTTATTGATGTTTTCTCAAATTCTTTTGTCAGGCATCTGAAGAAGCTTCCCTCAGGGCGCTGGAAAGTCTGATGACAGAATTTTTCCATGATTGTACAACCAATGAAAGAAAACGTGAGATAGGTAAGTGAAATTTGGGGAAGAAGGAATTGATACCCTTGGCTGGTCAAACCTGCATGTGCCCCTTGAGTTCTGGGCTTTGCTCTGGTGCTACTGGTTGGTGGCAGGTGGGGCCTGCAGACCTGATTGCAAGGGCATAGTGATTGGTTCTCTTTCCTTTCGGTCAAGTGGAAAGCCTCTGTTTTGTTTCTAATCTTAGCAGTGTTGTTGTAAGAAGCCCACAACACTTAATTTCAAACAAGAACAACTTATGAAAGTATCTGAATGAACGCCTGAGAGTGGTCTTTGAATCCCTTACTGGTCTACCTTTGGAGCCTTCCAGCCTTTTCTTCCTTTTTGTCATGGTTACCTTTCCCATTCTGCAGTTTTTGTGAATAAAGGCTCTGCAACAGAGAGAACATGTAGGTGTAATCACTTGCTGTCTCGGGGCCTCAGTATGTTTGAGAACCCACGTTTCACTTTTTATGTTCATTAACACAGTTATGTTAATCAAACATACTAGAAAGATAATTTATTCAAGTGTCACGTCCTGCCTCAGGGACATGACCCACTGTGCTGCTCAAGCAGTCTGTTCCCCTTTGGGTCCTCTCTTAACCTTGGATTTGAGTGAAAGGTGCTTTCTTACTACTCAGTACTCTGTAACCATACTTATTGCTTACCTTTCTCTAAGGTCTGTCTTTGGCTCAGAACCCTACAGGCTCATTTCTGTCTCCATTGGCTTGACTCATGTTAGCCAGCTAAACCTCCTGGTCCTGTTTGTCATCCAAAGTCCACTTGGGGTGGAGACTCTTACGGGTGGCTAGGACATCTTGCTATAGCCTGTTTTTTGCTAGCCTCCTTGAAGCATTGTGTCATCTGATAGTTGGTACTCGTGATAGTCTGCACCTCTCTTTTCTGGGAGAGTACATTGTAGAGAAGTAGAATAGACAGAGGACCACTGATGGTTGCTGAGTCTGGGAGATGAGCGATGTTTGCCTAGAAGACCTGCCCTGCTTGCTACTCTGGTTCTCTATACTGATTATCCTCCTGACCCAGTGTGATCCCCTCGTTAGTTTATGGTACTAGTGTACTTTATATTTATAGTGAAAATACTAGATATAATTTTTACCAAAAAAGGTAGATCTTCCTCTATGTTAGTTTCCTATAATCTTCCACTCTGATTTCTTCAAACTCTTGTCGCTGGCTTTCATTTTTGATTTGCTCATTAAATCTTGCTCACATTTGCATATTCATGGGTTGAAAGTGGAACCTTGTATAAGATTTTTATCTGAATCAAACTTTTATGCAGACTAGGGTTATAGCTTAGTGGAAGAGCACTTTCCTTGCATGGGCCCTAACCTTAGCAACACAAAGAGTCCGTAAAACAACACATATTACAGATGTTCAGTTGAAATGCTGGCTAATTGGAACTGTTCTGTACCAGTTGGTCAGTCTTGTGCATCTCTTTGTACCTGGTCATTGTGGCTTAATCTGAGTGTGTGACTAGAACTATTGTTTGCTTTTGTTGTTGTTGTCTTCATAAAAACCACAGGCTTTGCCTGTTGACGTAAGGGAACAGAAGGAAGCCGTGCCATAATAAGGCCCTTCTACCCACCTGCCAGACAAGTTAGAGTGCTCGAGAGGTTAATAGAGTAGGTAGTGGGGACACATGATGAGACCAGCTGTCCTTTAACAGTGGAGGAATGAAGGGAGCAGTATATACAGTAGTGGTTTGCTGTGATCAGGCTCAGGGATCAGCTGGCTTGAGCCCAGCATGTCATTTCCAGCTATGACTCACATTATTTGGTTCGCTTGTGTCTGTGTTACATAAAAAAACTTTTGTTTAATTATCAGGACATGCCATCATCTTTCACAGAATTTTTAAGATTTAAGAAAATTATTTTTATTTTATGTCTATGAGTTTTGCCTGCACATATGTCTGTGTACTATGTGCATGGAGGAAGTTAGAAGTGGGTATGGGATCCCCTGGAACTGGAGTTGTAGAAAGTTATGAGCTGCTATGTGGGTGCTGGGGATTGAACCTAGGTCTTCTCCAGGAGCAGCCAGTGCTGAACCATTTCTGTAGCCCTTCTTCTGTAGAGTGGCTAGTGAGGCTGCCTTGTTGCATTTAGTTAGGTTGCAAGGCAGGCAGAGAACTGAAGTGTCTTCATGGCGACCTTGCATAGGCCAGGCTTGCTGGCAGGGTCCGTGGCTAGTGCATAGATCAAGGTGGTTAACAAGCATTGTGCCTACAGGTGATGGTGGGTAGCTAAACTAATAGGGGTGGGTAGCTTATTAATTGTGACTTTTGGCTTATGCCGTCCATGGTCTGAGAGGAGAAGAGCCATTTTTCTTTTTTCTTTTGGTTTTTTGAGACAGGGTTTCTCTGTGTAGTTTTGGTGCCTGTCCTGGGTCTTGCACCGTAGAGCAGGCTGGCCTTGAACTCACCATGATCTGCCTGGCTCTGCCTCCCGAGTACTGGGATTAAAGGAGTGTACCGCCGCCTGGCGAGAAGAGCTATTTTTAATTGACTAGATGTACAGTCAGAGCTGCTCTGGTAACTCTTAGGGTTTTTACTTTTGATTTTTACTTATTTATGTATTTTGTGTCATCATCATCATCATCGTTATTATTTTGTTTTTTCAAGACAGGATTTCTCTGTGTAGCTCTGGCTGTCCTGGAACTCACTTTGTATACCAGGCTGGCCTCGAACTCACAGAAATCTGCTGGCCTCTGCCTTCTGAGTGCTCGGATTAAAGGCGTGCACCACCACCACCTGGCTATGTCTTATTATTATTTTTAAGTTTTATTATTATTTTATCTTATCTTATTATTTTTAAAAATATAATTGATTTATTTATTTTTATTTTATGTGTATGGGTATTTTGCTTTCACCCATACATTGTGTACACTTTCATGCCTGGTGTCTATGGAGGCCAGAGGAAGTTCCAGTCCCTGGCACTGGAGTTATAGACAGTTGTAAACCACCACATGGCTGCTGGGAATGTTACTTTTCTCTTCCGATTCTCTAGCCTTCATGTTGCCTGAGTGCAGGCAGTATGGATATCACTGAAGAATGGTAGAACATTATGTGTGTAGCTTATGCCTGTAGGGACTAGTTGGCATCATTTACATTTTGGATAAGCTTGCTGTCCCACGTAGAGCTTAAACAAGAGCTTGAGCAATAGGCCTCTGTTCTCAAAAGGTATCTTTAGGAAAGTCAGTGGCTTTGAGATGTCAGGGTACACTGCCTGTGTTGATGGTACCCCCAGAGTCAAGAGTAAGTACTAACTGCATAATCCATTCACCTGGGTTTTGTGCTTGTTTGTTGACACCATTTGCATTATGTGGGAAGGTAGGAATGTTTTCAAAGTGATGGCAACCTGGTCTTGTATTAATTTCATGTATTTTTATAGTTGTTTTGTTAACTTTTCTAGAGGAGCTTCTTAATAACTTTGCCCAGCAAGTAGGAGCCTGGAGATTCTGCTTGTTTTTTCTGTCCAGCACAAGGAATGACTATGTGATGATGTACAGCTTAACGGTTTTTGAGGTAAGATGTTGGGTCATTTCATATTCCTGAAAACCATAGTGAAATTGTATACCACGGCACCGGGCCTTCCCTTTAATGAGGACTGGGAAACAGTAGCTTGACCCACCCTCTTGGCACCCCTGACTAGTTGCCTAGTGTCTGGGGACACCTTTTTGTCTATGGCTCCATAAAGATTGGGCAGGCGGTTGGCTTTCTGGTATTGTTAGGTCATGTTTGGTGACTTACCTTTTTCTCTTATCATTGGAAAGACAAAGATGACTAAATGTTTTGTAAGGAGAGTGGTTGTTCTGCTGTCATCTTCCAACCCCAGACACAGTCATGCTAACTCCTGTCTTCTGTGCATGCTCACAGCACACTCTTTCCCACTCTCCTTGCTGTGACTGTAGAGAGTATAGCATCTTGATTATGTGCCTCAAGCTAGCTTCAAACTCACCACCTCTTGCCTCAGTCTCCCAGGTGATTGGATTACAGGTGTGTGCTGTCATGTCTGGCTTGTTCACTTATATTGGGACATTACAGTTGTTATTGTCACTCTTTGGTGGCCACTTGGCCAGTAAGACGTGTTGGAGACAATGATATAACAGCAAGTTTGTTCGTACAACTTTACGTCTTTACCTACTGAGTACGTTACTAAGTAGGTCTTCCTAGAGATAGGATTGTTGTGTCCTAAGATATCAGTATTTGTATTTCTCTTTTGTTAAATGTCCTAAACTGTTAGAGGAGTGTGTGTGTGTGTGTGACACGTTATAGCGAACTATAGAATTAAAAACAAGTTATTTTGTGTACAGCTCATTAAAGGATATGTATTTGTTTTTCAGAATCTGATCAATAAAATGTGGCTTGGGGTCCCATCTCAGGATAAGATGGAAATCCGTAGCTGCTTGCCCAAACTTCTCTTGGCTCACCATAAAACCTTACCTTACTTTATCCGGAACAAACTCTGCAAAGTTATTGTTGATATTGGACGCCAAGATTGGCCCATGTTCTACCATGACTTTTTCACTAACATTTTACAGGTAAGGATCTACTCGGGGGAACTGTCTTATAGATGGTTTGTTTGTAGAGGTGATTATATCCCTTGTCTTGAGTTGGCCGGTTAGTTGTTGGGCTGCAGTAGTAAATGTTGCAGGCTGGATGAGTACATTAGCTTCCTTTATGTTCTTGTTCCTTTGCGTAGTGGAGGAGAAGGAAGAAGAATGCGCCTAGCTGCTTTGTTAACTTCTGTGATGTTCTGCTCAGCAAACCTTTGAAAGCCTGGCTCCTGATACCCTGGGTGTTGAGGTGAAAGGAGGGTTCCAGTGGTTTCAGAATTGAGTCAGGAAATAATCATAAGCAGTAACTAGCCATTCTTAGGAGAATTATTGTGCTGCTGAGCTGTGTGTTACACAGACCTGGGAGTTGTGAGGTGAGCGGTAAGGTGTGGGCAAGGGATGGGTTTCACCGTTCTTTCATTGGAATTGAAGAAAAGTAGTTTTTATTTTTCTCTTACTTTAGTGTTATGATTTTTGAGATGAGGTCTTGCCAAAACTCATGAAGCTCCTGTCTTATCTTCTTGAGTGCAAGAACTGTGTAGTGGGCGTTGCTGATGTAGAGGAACATGAGGCATCCTTTGATGTTGGAATCCTGAGTCTTGTTGGAGTCCGGATCGTAGAGGGGCAAGAAGAGAGGACAGGAGACAGGACAACTGCCATTGGGAGGCTCTGGGTCAAGCTGTGGCCTTATTTGTTGTTTGAAGGAGCAGTGCTGGGGAGGTGGCCAGGAGGTTTTGGCCAGTGACTGATGCAGGGCTTTTAGAAGGGAGGAGTCCAGATCCTAGGTTAGGACTTTCCAGAGCTATAATTTTCTAACGTTTTGTCTGCTGTCTCTAAAGTCATTTGGATGTTATAGCAGTGCAGACATTGAGCATCTGGATTGCTTCTCAGATTGCTTCTCATCGTGCCACAAATTTGGTATATTTGGTTTTGTTTCACACAGTGATTCATTACCTAGAGATTTATGGCAGTAGTTGCATCTCTTCAGCAACCTAGGTATTCAACACCAGCCTGTGCTGGCCATGCATGTGATGGAGCCATTGCAGTGGACAACTGTCAATCTTCCCCCTTGTCCTTGGGCATGGTCCCAGCCTTGCTTGTTACTGTACCATTTACATACTGTACTTATACTAGGTTTGGGGTGCAAGGAGACCTTCAGTGCTTTCAGAATTTAGTTGGGAAGGAGGCTTTGAGCTGAGCAGAGGTCTTACCTGGTGAATTGAGGTGTGAACCACTTGAGAGATGGGTTCAGAAGGCTATGACCTGTGGCTAGATGCCTTCCAACACTGGTAGTCCTGAACCTGTGCATACTGTGTTATTTCTGAACACACATACTTAGGCAAGTAAGTTCAGTTTTTAAATTGGGTACAGCATAAATTACTAATAACAAGTAATGATAAAATAGAATAGTAGCCTGTACCACCTGGACACATTAGACTCATACCTGGATAGATTGGCACATGCTGACATAAGATTTTACTGTGCTACCCAGAATGGCGTGCGATTTAAAGCTTATTGCTACCTTTTTTTTGGGGGGGGGAGGATGGACAACACAGGGTCTCTCTATGTAGCCCTGTCTGTCCTGGAACTCACTTTGAAGAGCAGGTTCGCCTTGAACTCAGAGAGATCTTCCTGCTCTACTTCCCTGGTGCTGAGATTAAAGGCATGCGCCACCACTGCCTGTCCTAGCTTATCAGTTCTTAATTCTGGACATTTTTGTTTAATATTTTTTTATTTCATGGAATTATGAATGACTGAAACTTGAAAGTGAGACTTGTAGCAAGTACTTGCCCATATGGAAGCATCAGGAAAAATACTAAAGTAAACAGAGCAAATACCTGGAGGTGAATTCATTTTTATGTCAGTGGTGGCCTGTGAGAAGGAAGCAGCTAGGGACTGGGAGGCAGAGAGCCACAGTTCTGACAGTGGCAGATGAGAGGCGCTGCTTCCTTCCTGGTGGGACTAGTTCTGGTGGTAAAGCACAAAACATTCTTTGTCAGCCTTATAAAGGCTCTTTAATTCATTAAAGGGTTTTATTTGTGAGGTGAAAGGTTTGGAGCCTATACTTTTCAGAATCTTTTCTAGTCACATCACTTTCCACTTGCTACCCATGTGAACTAGTCAGTAGCACTTCCTACCCATGTAACTAGTCAGTAGTACTTTTTACCCATTTAACTGGTTAGTGGCATTTGCTACTCATGTGAACTAGTCAGTCTGGCCATGGGTGATGGTGCTCAGTTGGCATTTCTAGTAGTCTGTAGTAAAGCAAGTTTTTCTTTAGGGATTGATAAACAAGACCAAACTGGTTCTAGAATAAATTTCTCTGTCAGTGGTCCTTAGATAATCCATCTAGTTTCTTTTGGCTCAGTTCTCTTCTGATCTGACTGATTTGCAGTCAAAAATATAATTGTTACAGTTGGTGGGGAATTTGCAATTTATGTTGTGGTAGTTTATACCTAGAACTAACTTACAGCTCTGCATTGCTCATACCTTTCTAGGCCACTGGAAAAGGAAGTAATAAGTTGAAATTGACGGTAGTCTGGGCCAGCACACCTTTTTGTAAGATTGTTCTTCAGATTTCTGAAGTCTGTTGAGCCAAACCTTTAGACATATTTTGCCTGAAGCCAGATTACTAAGGGACAAGCGGCCTTGGAAAGGGGCTACCTCTTCCCTGATAGGATGTGTAGTGCAGACAGTTGAACCTTTCAGGTTCCCTGGAAACCAGAGGTGCTTGTCTGCTAAGTCAGGTGGAAAAGCTAAATTAAATAAAACACAGAAGCTAAACTGTGTTTAGAATTTTAATTATATATTTAATTAATTGCCTTTCTTGATACAAGAGCAACAAAGGTGCGGAATTGCACATGTTCTCCAGTTGTTTTGAGTAAAGGATTGCTGGGAGGAGCGGAGGGAGGTCTGGGGGGAGGGCAATAGTAAAAGACTGCCTTAGTTCCTTAGTTTATTTAGTTGATCCTGTGTCACTCTTTCTTACTCTTTGAATTTCACCCCAGAACTGTTTAGCCTGGAAGTCACAGAGATCTGCCTGCTTGCCTCTGCTTCCCGACTGCTGGCCTCAAAGGAGTGTGCCGCCTCACCTGGCTCCTTTTCAGTTCTTAGTCATCTGGCACATTCTCATGTTTTAACCTTGATTATATCAAAATGCTCAGAACCATTGACAGTCAATTGCTCTGCAATGGCTCCTCACCAGATTATCAGGTACTAGCTGCAGTTGTGTCGGGAACTGAAACCCAGATGTTTAGCAAGTACAAATTAGAAGTCGTTGCATTCTGCTGTGACCAGCTAGAGTGGCTGACAGGAAAGAAGAGGCTAGAGAAAGCAGCTGCAGCTGTAGAGATAGCTGAGCAGTCTACAGGAAGTGCCCTTTCTGTAGAGGAGGAGGGAAGGTCACACACCCATTCTGTGAGCCTCAGGAAGGAAGAAGCTAAAGTCAGTTCAGCTTTGCTTTGTAACCCAAGCTAGGAAGCTTAGAAAGGTGGGACCTTGGTTTAACTTTGACAGAATGAGGCCCAAGATCAACCCTGGCTACAGGTCGGGGAGTCAAGGCAAACAGCGAGGTCCAAATTCTTAAGCCCTCAGAGGTGAGAAAAGTCTCAACAGGAATAGAAAGGGAGCTTAGAAAGCAGAGAGGGGACAAGATCTCCCCTCTAGCAGAGGGTTTAACCAGCCTCTTCCGTGCTCGATAGGCTGCTTAGAGACTGGCTTAAAGGCACCTGGATGATGACTAAAGGGGAGAGAACAAGAGTGTCCCTTCTCTCCAGAGCCTGGTGGACCCAACAGGGAAGGCCAGTTAGTATTTTCACTCTATATATGAATGTGGGAGGCAGCTAGGACAATGGTTCAGTCATTCTTACCATGATTTTTAAAAGATTTTTTATTTGTGTACACACACACACACACACACACACACACACACACACACACACACACTCTCAGAGGCCCAAAAGAGGGCATTAGATCCCTTGGAGCTAGAGTTACAGGGGGTTGTGAGCCACCAATATGGGTGCTGGCAATTGAACTCAGGTCCTCCGAAAGAGCATTATGCACTCTATTTAAAACTTATTTGTTATTTTTACTGGTGTGTATATGCATGTACCTGTGTGAGTCTATATGCACCGTGTGCATGCAGATGCCCTTCGATGTTGTTTCATCCTCTGGAACTAGTGTTACAGGCAGTTAGGTGCCACCTGATATGGGTGCTGGGAACTGAACCAGGTCCTCTGCGTGAGCAGTGAATATTCTTAGGCATGGAGCCATTTCTGAGCAGTAAATACTCTTAGGCATGGAGCCACATTTCTCCAGACCTGCAATATATACTCTTAATTGCCATCTCTCTAGCCACTCTTAAGATTTTTATTCAGAATGGGTGGCCATTGGTAGGGTCTGTTCTTTGCTTCTCTCTCAGCTGCAGCCTCCTCCTCCTCCTTTCATTTCTTCTTTGGAAGTGTGTTCATCTTCTACCAGCTTTCTCATTAGGAATTTGTGGGCCATGTGTAGAAGGAGGTAGGCCCAGGAGTTTCACAGCATCTGTCACTCCTGTTGTGATGTTGAAATAGGAACAGCAAAAAAGACGAGAGAGGGAATTCCAATGTTTATACCAGGGTGTGGGGCAGGAGCCAGAAGGGCAAGGAAACCAGCCAGGTGATGATGAAAACGATGCAAAGATGAGGAAGATGCTTTTGTAGGTGGTTTCCATGCCGTGTAGTTAAAGTGGACTGACTCTAGCGGGTGATCAGAAAACTATGGTAAGATTCACTGCTCAGACAAAATTGACAAACCAGGAGAGGCTAAGAAGAATCGTGGCGGCCAGTTGGTGGATGATCTGTTTCTTAAAGTTCAGTTGCTTGACATCAGAGGCAGAAGAACAGGGACCAGTAGAAAGGAACTTGAGTCATGAAGTATTTCCGGTACTGGGTACCGGTACTCTGGCTGGGGTGTCCCTCTCAAACTTTGCTCATGCCTTAGAGCCATGGTTTATCCACAAGAATTGTCATGCCAGCAACAAAGGTAACCAGGAGCCTGGGTCAGTCCTGGATGGAGCAGTGGTGGAACCATCATCATAACTGGTGGCTTGAGAGCTCTCTTTGCCAAGATGAAAGCCCTACCTCCACCTGCTTGGGCTGCTTCCACTGGTCGGGAAGAAGTACCCCAAGGTGGTACTGGGTTGCTCACAGCTAAGCTTCTTCACCATTTAGGAGGGCAACTGATGGTACAGCCATCTACAGCTCACAGGGGTGTCAAATGATGAGAAAGAAAGAGCAAGGCAGTTAGGCTTTGGCACCACTTCATCCATCTCAGTCTTCTGGATCGGTGCAGGTTCAGTTCACATGCAGTAGAACCATTTCCATCAGATGTAATCATGAGATTTGGTGTAGCTCCCACCTTCCTCCTTCCTCCTCCTGCAGCTAGGGAGCCAGCCAGGGAGAGAAAGCAAGAATGATTACTTTCTTCTTTACTTTTGTTTCTTTGAGACAGGCTCTGACTGTGGCCCTGGTTGGCCTGGAATTCTTTATGCAGACCAGACTGTCCTTAAACCAGTGGTTTTCAACCTTTCTAACATTGTGACCTTTTAATAGTTTTTCATGTTGTGGTGACCCCCAACCATAAAATTATTTTTATCGTTACTTCATAACTGTAATTTTGCTACTGTTATGAATCGAAATGTAAATATTGGTGCTTTCTGATGGCCTTGGGTCATGACCCACAGGTTGAGAAACACTCTCTTAAACTCACAGAAGTCTGCCTATCTGCCTCCTGAGTGCTGGGATCCAAGGCATGAGCCTCCATGTCCAGCAAAGTAACTTTGTCTTTATTCTTCAGGTCCTGTGTGTTTAGCCTCTAGCACTAAAAAAAAAAAAAAAAAAAAAAAAAGTTTCCTCCTACCTACCTACCCACCTACCTACCTACCATCTCCTCCCTCATGATGGAACCTAGGGTCATGCAATGCTAAATGAACCCTTTACCATTGAACTTTTTTTTGACAGGGTCTTGCTATGTAGTCCAGGCTGCCCTCAAATTCATGATCTTACTGCTACCTCTACTTGCTGAATGCTGATATTACAAGTGTGTGCCACCATGCCTAGTGATGGCTTTCTTTTTTCACTTGACTTCTTACCTCACCTTTCTTCCCTCTGAATAAAGAGAGCAAGATTTCCGATGGATTTTTTTCCATGTTGTAGGGTGTCCCGCATCTGTGAGGAGCAGAGGCATTTCATGATAAAGGAAAGGGAACATGTGGGCTGGAGAAAGAAGCATGGCAGTCTAGAGCGCTTACATTACAGAAGAGTAAGGTTCATTCAGTTCGCAGTATCATCAAGTGGCTCACAGTCTCAGGGGAGATGATGGACTCTGCAGGCACTTAGACACTTATGGTGCATATAAATTCACATAGGTGTACACACACACACACACACACACACACACACACACACACACACACACACAAATCTTGAAGGTAAATCTTGCCAAGTAGAGTATTTGGCAGAATATTCTCAACTGAAAGGTTAAGTGCTTAGGAGCTGGCCAGTGGATAAGAGTACTTGTTGCTCTTCCAGAGGACCCAGTGCCCATGTGATGGCTCACAACCAACTGTAAACTCCAGTTCTAGAGGCTTTGATTCCTTGTTCTGATCTGAGAGGGCACCAGGCACCCAGGTGGTACTTGGACATAGTCACAGGCAAAACACTAATACACACAAAATTTACCCCCCTCCCTTTAAAAACAGTACGTTCTTAGTTGAAAATAGAGATAAAAGAGGGGAAGGAGAAAGGAAGGGAAATTCTCAGAATAGGCTTGAGAACCCAGAATTCTCCACACAGGCTTAAAGAGAGTCTTTTCTACTTTATTATAGCCAAACATTACACTGAGGCAGACATTATTTGAGTGTGTTAGAAATAGTTGAATTTTGTACAAAATAGAGAAAATGTAGAATTAGGAAGTTTTAGCATTCAGGAGAGCTGTTTTTTTTTTTTTTTTTTAAAGATTTATTTATTTATTATATATACAGCATGTATGACCAGAAGCAGAAGAGGGCACCAGACCTTATTACAGGTGGTTGTGAGCCACCATGTGGTTGCTGGGAATTGAACTCAGGACCTCTGGAAGAGCAGTCAGTACTCTTAACCTCTAAGCCATTTCTCCAGCCCCCGAGAGCTGGTTTTTATAGGGAGCACCTCCCTCCTTCCTTCTCCTTTTTTTCTCCTTCTTCCTCTTCTCTGATTGGCTCTTGGGTAGCCTCCTAAACTCCTGCCTCTGCCTCTAGATTGCTGGGATTATAGGCAACTGCCGGCTTTCTTGAGCTGCTTCTGAGCATAGTAGGATTGTCCTTGGATTCCCATTACTGAGTTTAATAAATTATTTGTGTGTGTGAAGGAGGGGAGATAGAATAAGAGCGAAGATGTATGGGCACACACTCAGTCAGTGTTCATGCTCTGTAAAGTTAGGTCAACTTTCAGGAATGGGTCTCTCTCTCCGTTGAGGATTTTAAACTTCAGCTAGATCATCAGTTTTGTGCAGCAAGTGCTCCCTCCCCACCCTGCTCAGAGCCATCTTGTTATTTCCCAGCTGTTTTTCTTACTCTTTTGGGATGGATGGACGGTTCTGTAGTCTGTGATGGGAAGAGTTACTTTCCAGGGAAAGGGTGGTGTGCCTTGGGTTGGTTGAAATGAAGAGTATCTGGTTTGTCTTAATGCAATTCCTAAGTGTCCTCTTTTCTAAAGCTTAGAAACTTTGTGTATCATAAGTAAAACAGCCAGGGAAGAGCTGAATTGAAAGTGATACCTGCTTGAAGAAAAGGGTGAGGTACTCTGGAAATTGTTTGCTTTTTAATTGTGCCAAGTAGTGTAGGTCTTTGTAAAGGTAACCTCTCACTTGTAGGATACTCATTTGAATTTTGTGAAAACAAGTAGGATGCTCTAAGTAGCATCAGGCTGTTGAAAGTGTTATCTCATCTCCTGCTAGAGGACAGTATCACAGGGGATAGGAAAGTTACTAAATTTATTACATGGGTATTTGAGAAACTCTTACTGTAGCCAGGCATGCCTGTAATCCCAGCATCTGAGAAGCTGAAGCAGGAGGATGACCACAAGTTCTAGGACAGCCTGGGCTACATAGTGAGTGAGACCTGTCCCCAAAACTCAATGACCATGATAGTTGTTTAATGTCATGGATGTGTGTTGCTTTGCCACATGTTTCTTTTCCTTTTTAATTAAAACCTTTGAGACCACTATGTAGTCCAGGCTGCCCTTAAACTTTTTTTAAAAAAATTATATTTATCTGTTCTGGCAAGGGGATGAAGGAAAACATGTATGTGAAGGTCAGAGGAGACCTTAAATGAGTCAGTTCTCTGTTTCCACCAGGTGGGTTCCAGGGATCAGACTTCGGTAGCACCTTTGCCTGCAGAGTCACCCTGCTATCTCTTGCCTTAAACCCTTGATTTGTTTGCCTTCGTCTCCTATGACTGCTGGGATTTCAAGTGTGTGATACCACACCTAGCCTTGCCTCATGGTTAATTTTAAACTTTCTTGAAACATGCTAAGGTCAGAAATATAAGCTTTAGAACTATAAAGTTCATTTAACTTGAATATTGAAAAGATACCACAAATTGATCTATGCTATCATTATCACTAGTATGAAAATATTTGTATCCCTAACATGCATATCATCATGGTGTCCTTGACAGTGAGACACTATAAAAAGTGCCTTGTTGGATGACTATCATAGAGTACACTTGCACATAACTGCATGGTAGGCAGAGCCTGATCTATACCTAGGCTGTATGGTATAGCCTCTGGTTCCTTGGCTACAGATTTGTACCACATATTACCACACTGAATACTAGAGGCAGTTGCGACACTGTGTTAAGCTTTTATGTGTCTTAACTGTATCTAAATGTGGAAAAACCAACAGCAGACCTACCAGATGGTAGGAATTTTTCAGGTCTTAAAAGACCACCAGGGTAGATGTGGTCTGTCCATGACAGAACTGTCTGTCATTCAGTATGAGTATCTCTGTATCTCTTGGTTATTATGCAAATAACTAAACCTTGGTTGGGAATTTGGACTTGTGCAAAGATTGTCCTGTTGGTATAGGAGAGGATTGCTTCCAGCTGCTTTTTAAGTTCCTGCTGGTAGAATTTGGCCCTAACATGAGAATAAAAAGCAAAGCTTCATGAATGATCCTCTAAATTATTTTTCAGAAGTGTTGCTTGAGGTAGTCTGTCCATATGAAGTTCAGCACCTCACAGTTGAATTTTACTAATCCTCCTTGTAGCTCATTAGTTCTATGTTGCTTAGAATTTGCTTTTTCTTGTCAGTTGATCCAGTCCCCTGTGACAACCCCCCTTGGGCTGATCATGTTGAAGACAACTTCGGAAGAGCTAGCTTGTCCCCGTGAGGACCTCAGTGTGGCTCGGAAGGAGGAGTTACGGAAGCTGCTGCTGGACCAGGTGCAGACAGTGCTTGGGCTCTTGACAGGTGAGTGAGTGCCTTGGTGGTGTGTGGAGATGGGTTGGCTGCAGGTGTGCAGAGCCATGGCCGTCTAGGTATTGCTGACTGAGTGTAAGTGTGGGAAGAGGGAGTTAGTGTGGTTTCCTAGCCTCAGGTCCACAGACTGGGGCATGGTAAGACCTCACAGGAGATTTGTAACTTAATTTTTTATAGTTTTTTCTTCATTGGTCCTCACTATGTGACTAATGAGGTAGGTGTGTGTGTGTGTGTGTGTGTGTATATGCATGCCAGGTTGTAGGAATGTAATTCACATGCTGTTAGTGTAATTTAAGTAGGTAGGTAGCAAGCTCTGTATTTGAAGTAATTTGAATTTAAGATTAGGAGAGGTAGGAGTAGCAAGATAAAAACAATTTCCTCTGTAGAGAAGTGAGACAGGGGTGGTGTTGGCCCTCGTGCCCTAGGTTGTAGTCTTATGTGGCATCTCATCCCAGTGTCGAATCAGAGTTTCATGGCAATGTGTGAGGGGAAAGAAGAGAGGCAGGAAGGTGGCAGGACCATCCCTGGAGACTGGGATGCCTCGTGGTGGAGCTTACATAACAAGGTTTGTAGACTGCTGGCCACTAGGCCCTTGAGGTGCCCGGAAGTCACTGCTGCTTGAATCTGTAATGGGAAGGTGCTGTTTCATCTTGTCTTTTCTATTTGGATATCCAAGACTTTTTTCCCTCCTTTTGTATGTTTGTTTTAGTGGTTGGCATCTGGTGGGTACTTCAAAATAGACTGAAAGAATGATGAATGATGGGGAACTTGGGTGCACTTGCTTCCCTGGCCCCATCCTTCCCTGGATCCCAGATGGAAACTCAGACCTCAGAATGTATTCATTTCAAAACAAACTTACTGTTATCAACTGGGTATTAAGTTTATAGTCGGGACTCTGTCTTATGCACCTGCCCTGCATTCTATGCCTACAGACATGAAACCATCCGAGAACAGATCTCAGACACGTGCACACATTGACTTTAAACTGTGCCAGTTCAGAGGCTTAAAGGCAGCCATTGCCCTTATTCCAAAACATTTTTTTGTTACCCCAGAAAGTAACCCTGAGTCCACAAGAGGTCACTGTTCTCTTCTCCAGTCCCTGGCAATCACTCAACTACCTTTTGTCCATAGGGATTTTTCTGTTTTGAGCCTTTCATAAAGTGTTATAATCATATCATATCATATATCGTATCATATGACCTTTTATGTGTGGCTTTCTTCACTTAATAGGTTCTCTAGGTTTATCCATGCTATAACAATAAATATTTGGAGGGGGCAGTTTTTTTGTTTGTTTGCTTTTAGATAGGATCTCACTATGTAGCTCTGTCTGGCATGGAATTCACTGTATAGACCAGGCTAGCTTCAAACTCAAAGAGATCTACCCACCTTTGTCTCCCAAGTGCTGGGATTAAAGGCATGAGCCACCACACTTGGCCTTTGGGAATATTTTTATGAGCTTCTGTGGTGATGTTATGTGCCAGGCTCTGTCAGGATGCACAAAGGATCCAAACAAGTCCTGTCTTCTGGGAATTTGCACCCTAGTGGAAGAGGCAAGTAAACAGTTAAAAAGTGATGTTTTAAGAGTTGATCGATGTATTGTGTGGAGGTAAATCCAAGGATTAGGAAGACTACTCGAGGCATAGGACAGCTGAGTGGAAATGGGAGAAACAGATAGGTAGCAGTCAGTGGAAAGGGAAGGCTGAGATTTAGAGGAGGAGAGCAGAATGGAGGTGAGGAGGGAGGATGGTGTGTATTGAAGACATAGCAGATAGATGGGTCAGTATTGGGGAAGACTGGATCAGGTGAGGCTGGGAAGGAAGTGTATAAAGGCCAGGTACCAATTTTTATGGGCTGTGCTACTTACCTGGTAAGGAATGTATGGGGATCACTGGTAGAATTGTAGGGGTAAAGAGCTGA